TTAAATGTAGGTTCCCCTTGATCCCTCGTTGTGTATGTTATATTTTGAGACTGATCATAAAAACAAAATGGATTAAAAGAAGAACTAAACAGATCTTTCTCATATTGCAATGATCGATTCTATTTCTTTCACATTAAGTACTGTACTAGTAAATATGTGAAATGACAAACTCACTTTGAAGGTTGGCTTTCATACACATCAGTATTAAGTTTAGATCAAAAGTTACCTCAAGGTGCATTTACTGTTAACATGACTCGATCAAACAGATTAGAGGAAAGAAGAGAAAAGATCGAACTGACAAAGAACTAATGAAGATGGTACAAAGGTGCATGGGTGCCAAGATCCCTCTGGGATCTCTTGTTTTGTCTAAAATGAAATAATGCAAATGACATGTCTTGTATATATGATTTAATTTTACATGCATATCTTCTTACAAATCATCCTACACACAGCAAATATTCCTTTAATGGCAATCATGTTTACAATGTTTCTTTTCATAATTCATTCCTCACAATGGCGATGCATCTTCTGTACTGTGCTACCTCATTCATCCCAAGCATTTGTCAAAATCACTGAACAAGGCCAGGGATTCCTTCTATAGCTTGCTAAGTTAAAGATCAACACTGGACACATGTCACCGTAGCCAAGGATTCGGTCGGTTCTTTTTTAACACAAGTTTTACTTTCCTCTCCATTTCTGCTGTGTATAGACGTTTACATCTTTCGTAACTCAGTCTCTGTCTTTTCATCCATGGCGGCTCATAACCGTTCATTCGGTGTCTTATCTGTTGTGTCACTTTATCCTCCCTCATTATCCTACAAAATACAGACATGACATGATTAAAGTTCTTCCTTTTGCTTCAAGTTCTATTCTTCCGAAAGTCATGACTTTACTGTCATGAATATTATTTTTTCGACAAATCTAAAATGGATCTAGATTCTTGAAAGGAATTATGATTGAGATAAAAATTCCTGATTGGCTCGCCTCATGATTAAATACAAAAAATAAATATCTGAATAAATGCAAGTATTTTGCACTAACAGTATCCATAAATCCTTATAATTAGTTGAATAAAATGATAAGAAAATTACAGTACTACATGTACATTTAAATTTTATTTACTGATTTTCTTCAAATAATCCCAATGTCTGAGTGTTTCTTTCCTTTTCTCAGTCTAACTGGCCTGAATTTTGGAAAGAAGCTTTAATTGTTTGAATTTAATCATTATTATTTTTTCATATTATTCCCACCAAGTGAATGGCCAGGAGTGCATCACGTGTCCACCGATAAAAACCAATATTGACTTGGAGCAAACGATTTTTGTTGAAGGACTGGGTGTTTCTAAAAATAGAATTATGGCGTATCTCCAAACAATGCACCGGGACGCTGCCGAAGTTTTTTTGCTGTTTTTTTTTCTCAGATTGCTTACATCACTGTTTTGAAAATAGTGAAACAATTGTAACAATCATCGGATCATTTTCAAATTTCAGAAAAAAGACCTTTACTATCCAACCATAATTTATGGATTGATGGACCCTTGATTCTGTTAAAACTCTGTTTTTTCTTAATATCTTAAGAGATTAAAATAACATAAAAATTAATTTCAAACAAATCAAATAATTTCTTTTAGTTTAACATTGAAAACCTTAACTAATAGGACCATTTCTTATTAACATCTCACAATATACCTATGGGCAACTGGCATCTAGCACTTTTTGTAACTGGTTGTATTTCATTTTTTTACAACTAGTCCAGATAATAATGTATTATTTATAAAGGAGTTACACAGTTGTCTCCCTTGAGATATATCTCTTTTTACATTATATTAATTAATTTCAAACATTAAAACATGCAACAACATTAATTACTATGAAAGTGCAGGCAGTTTACACAGGACCGACTTTACTCAACCGTATTAATCAATGACATTGGTGTTTCACCTCTCTCCTTATTCAATTAGTCAATATGCTTTCCATGAGGTTCTATGGAACTACCGGTACACATTTAGTTGAGAAGTTCCCCTTTTCCAGGAATCACCTCAAACTATTTGATCCTTCTCAAGTTGCATTTAAAAACAAATGCCCTTTAATATGTAACTTGCTGCTGCTTATGTATCGACTGTTTTACGGTAACCTTGTTGGCTTTTGAACTTCCAGGGGTCTAATTTAGGTTAGCTTAATGGCGTTTTATCTGTCCTACCCAGGGAAATACATTGCGGTTTAACGTTCATGCGACGTAATCTCACCTGTGCAGGAGGAGTAAGGCAGTGTCAATGTCATTGTTTTTAACCAGTACAGTCTTGGAAATAAACTTGAAATGCTTTCCAGCCGACATGTTTCATAGCTCGGAATACTTCTAATTTTATTATCATCGCACGAGGTGCTCCGAGATAAGTTATGGGACCCACTAAATACCTGATATAAGACATGGATATACCAGATTAAGATAAGATTTGTTTAATAACAAATTTCTAACCCCACGGGGCACCAACAGTACGTCCAATGTATACACCAGAGAGTAGTTACCTAGAAGACAGGTGAAGGAAAATGTCAACACAATGATGTAACATGATTGAAAATTGACATGAATGGGTTCACAACATGACTGAAACAAGTTCAAACAGCCTCAGAGTCAGAAGGCGTGTTTGAAAATAACAAAGCATTCCTACACCAGGAAACAGAATTAAATATATTTTCGATCACATTTCCCCCTGTTTATCAAATAACTGACCATTCATTAGACGACAGAGGTGTTGGTTAAACATACATGTACACATGTTAATAAGTCAGTTGATCAAGATCACTTTAATTGTTTTGAAATGTGATGGTTTGAAGATTGGTCCTTTTATTTCGGGCTCCCCATTACGAATGAATTATCCGCAAGGTAGTACAATAGTGGTTACTTAATTTTACAAGTGGTTATCTTCATCATAAATGCACAGAGTTGACTTGAAGAAATCCATATAAAAACATGTGAAACAGATGATAAAAAATATGATGCGAGTATGATAGTTAGAGCTGTAAATATAGCTTTTTTGTGGTAGCTATGGAAAAGAATAAAGTCTCTTCCTAATGTAGGCCTAACATTCATCACTTATAAGGACTGACCAACATGTTTTTAATGTTCATGCCGGTGAAAATTGAAAGCAAATTGTTTATATACATAGCCAATGAAGCCATCATGAAGATTGCAAATTTCTTTTCCATTCATATATTTTCTTTGTAATTATTGATCTTAATACAGATATTCTCATTTTTTTCGATAAAGAAGTGTCTGTGTCGACGATCGAGATTCCGTGAACAGCCTTTTCATCACCAAAATGTTTGCTTCTAACGCTTGTCTCATGTTATTTGAGGTGGGATGAGAAGCTTTAAATTGACGGTGATTCAATTGCGTTTATAGCCCTATGAACGAAATTTCTACAGGTAATGCTTAGACAAGGTTATACCACGGACTTCGATAATCTAATTCCGTGGTTATACTTGTGTGTTAATATCGACAAGGCCAAACCAAGTAAACAAGTCTGGTCCTTCGTTAAAAAACAAAAATCTGATAATTTTGGAGAATCACCACTCAAGGTCGATGACACAACATACTCTGACCCAAAAACCCAAGCAGAAACACTAAACAGACAATTCCACTCTGTCTTTAACAACCCCGTCCCACTCAAACTATCTCATCTCTGTGAACTTAACCTCTATTCCTCACAAAAGCCTGCAAACTACATGTCAGACATCAATATCACAATTCCTGGTGTGTCTAAACTTCTTGAAAACCTGGACCCCCACAGGCCCTGGTAAATTTTCTCCAAAGTTCCTTAAACATGTCTATATTGAAATAGCTCAAATTATCACAGATCTCTTTCACTGTTCCCTCTCAAGCGGCGTAGTTCCCTCAGACTGGAAAATGTCATTGTAGCCCCTGGGACCAAAATACCAACCGCAAAATTACCGTCCAATCTCGCTAACCTGCATCCTCAGTAAATTGATGGAACACATCCTTACTAGAAGCATCATGACTCACGCCGACAACTATAATCTTCTCAACCCTCTCCAGCATGGTTTTCGCTCCAAACGTAGCTGCGAAACACAATTTCTTGCTTTTACCTCAGACATTTATAATAACCTAGCACTAGGTCATCAAACAGATGTAGCCTTTATGAATTTTTCAAAGGCGTTCGACAAAGTCGACCATGCCCGACTCATTCTAAAACTCAATCGTTTTGGCATTCACAGCAAAATCATTGCTTGGGTCCAACATTTTCTCCTTGACCGTAGTCAGAAAGTTTCTGTAAGTAATACCAAGTCTTCGTACTGTCCTTTCATCTCTGGAGTCCCCCAAGGCTCAGTCATGGGGCCCTGTCTTTTTCTAATCTGTATAAATGATCTACCAGACTCTATCACAAGCCAAGTTAGACTTTTTGCAGGCGACACTATTGTCTATGTAACACTACAAAAAGACTTAAATCTTCTAGAAAAGTGGGAACAAAATTAGTTAATGTCCTTCAACCCTGATAGCCGCCAGGTACACCCTCATTGGCTGATCCAGAGGGGTTTTTTGGCTTCAGGAAACCCCCACCCCCAGCCTGAAAGTTTTCTTTAAAAAATCATGTATTTTCACAATTTTACTCAATTTTACCTCACCTGGAACACCCTTTAAGTGCTATAACTACACCAGTAGTGTTACAGAAATGCTCCAAACCCTGAAATGGCAATCCGTTGAACAACGCCGTAAAATGACCTCCACCATATTACTATATAAAATCATAAACGGCCTTGTAGCATATGATGGCAACCTCCAAATTCTCCAGCGAACCCAACAACACAGATTCCAGATTCCACACAGCACCACAAATTAGCATGCATATTCATTCTTTCTTAGAGCAATTCGTACCTGGAACAGCCTCCCAACCTTCATCGCCGACAGTGCAGACCTCTGAACACCGAAGGCAAATCCCTCTCTCACAAGTTCTAAGCGTACATGCTGTTTTTATCGTATAGTTCTAAAAATAAAAAAAGTAAAAATACTTGTTCTTAACCGATCTTTCTGACGCCTCTAAATAATGTTCAGTATAATGAACGTTTTAGAGTATCATCCGGTAACCCGAGGATATCCTGTTGAAGTGTTGAATGGGAAAAGGTTTCATCAGATTCTTTGTTTGTAATATTTGAGTTTAATAATGTTGATATTATTAATGTGAAAAATATTCAAAACTCGTAAACCGCGTTATGTTCTCATAGTCTATATTCTGGTCAGTTCAGGTCATATTCAAGTCTTTAGGAATAGCTTAAACTTTGTTACAATAACGCTTCATTTTATGCTTTTTTGTTAAGCATTGTATTGACTTAGATGTTCCTATATTTTTGGCTAAGGGGAATCCCGCGTTACAAAGCGACATAGGTAGGTATGGTAAAATGTTTAAAAATATTTCTTGTAGGTAACAACTAGGATGACTATTTTGCAATGCTATATTCTTAACACTGAGCGTTGCACATGCAACTATATAACAACAATATCTTCTTATTCCAATGTTGCACAGTCTTCTAATGCAAGACATCAAGACTGGATAGAAGCATGGTGTCTTGACTAATTAGTTACCACCTAAAATGTCGATTTACACTCACGGTCTCTATAACGTTCATTGTAAGATGAGTTAAAATACGTTTGGGAGTTGTTGTTTTTTTACAAAATAACCATCCCCACCTATTGTAACGCATCTTCAACCTATGTCAACAAGACCCTATGTCAGGTTGGGCACAACGGCGCATATGGGTAATAATCGTGCATTTGGGTAACAGTTACCCATTTGAGTAACAATTTTATTACTGAAGTAGAGAATAAAGTTAAATAAAAACACACAAAGTCCTTTTTACACTTTGAGCAAAAAAGGGCGTCATTCTGTCAACTAAATCAAATAAATAACAATGAAGTACATTTGTGCCCAAAAATTTATCAATTCTGATGTCTTACTTTTTGTGAAAAGGACAAACCGCTAGGACCACTGATGTTCGTGATATTTGTAAATGACCTCCCAGGAGTAGTTCAATCCGATATGTACTTATTTGCGGACGACACTAAAATATTTAAAATAATACAAAAAGAAGGGGACAGTGTCGAGCTTCAGAAAGACCTTGATGTAATGTGTAAGTGGAGTGACACGTGGCTTCTCAAAATGCACCCAGACAAGTGTAAGCATATGCGAATAGGCAAGGAAAGAAGCAGAGAGAAAAACAAAGCAGAACCAATCTACCACCTTAATGGCAAAATGTTGGAGACATCCGACCAGGAAAAAGATATCGGTGTAATTATAGATTCCAACCTATCATTTGATGAACACATTTCCGAAAAAGTTAAAAAAGCTAACTCTATGTTCGCACTTATTAGGAGAACAGTTCAGTTTATGGACACAGTCTTTTATTCCTTTATATAAATGTCTTGTTCGTTCACAACTGGACTATGCTAGTCCAGTGTGGGCACCACATCTTCAAAAACATATCGACAAGATCGAGGCAGTCCAGCGAAGAGCGACAAAGTGCCTTCCTTGGATGAGAGACCTCACCTACAGTCAGAGACTTGAGAAACTTAAACTACCAACGTTGGCCTTCAGGAGATGTAGGGGAGATATGATAGAACTGTACAAAATTATAAACGAAATATATGATATAGAATGTTGTAATGCAATCACACTTTGGAAAGATGCCGCTGATCGTCACAGTAACAGAGGACATAGCAAAAATGTACACCCTAAGCATGCAACAATGATGCTTAGGAAAAAGTTTTTTTCAATAAGAACAGTGACAATATGGAACGATCTGCCTGAAAATGTTGTCTCCGCACCAAATGTAAATGTATTTAAAAACAGGCTAGATACCCACTGGAAACATCAAGAACTTTTCTTTAACTACAAATGATTAATCAAACCATAGACATTAACGTGTACCGAATAGAAATATATATATTTATGTATTGTGTAACATAAGAGTCTGGTATAGAGGACTTTCACTAGTCCTGAACCGGAAATAAACTTAACTAACTTAACTTAACTTGACTTTGTTCTCCATTGACTTCAGTGTGTAGTCAATGGGACTATCCAGTGCAAATGTGACAGGTGAGCATGATTTTTTATGTGTGCTATTTATAGCTACTCTACAACACACTATAAGCAATGGAGGTGATACAATTTGTAATTTTCAGAAACATTTAGACAACTGAATTTACATATTTTTGTACACAATTGTACCTCATTGTATTTTTTATTTGATCATGTTGAAAGAATGACGCCCTTTTTTGTTCAAAATGTATAAAAGAACTTGGTGTGTTTTTATTTCCCTTACTACCCATTTCAGTAATAAAATTATTACTGAAGTGGGTAACTGTTACCCGAATGCAGGATTATTATCCATATGCGATAACCTAGCTTTCTGACGACAAGATTTTTAAAAATTGCATCGTCAGAGCTACAAAGCCAACTAATGGAGCAAAATCAAAAGTGTTAATCTGTAAGATTACATATAGTTTACGCCTCATATGAATATAATGTTATCAAAATATTGCATAATTGTTGAAAAAACGAAACCTTATCAATGAAAAAATAATTTTAAACAAAATTAACAAAGTCTTGGGAAAAATATTAGAAAACGACCGCCATGACAGATATTCGTTATTGGGTCATGATCATGACACCAATATTTAGACGTCTGACCTAAATCGAGAGAGAGACAAACTTTCCAACATGGTGGTCAATTCAGATTTCAATTGCGCTTGCTACGTTAACTTGATAATTAAAGACATTTTAGGCTGAGTTTAACTTCAAGTTAAAGGATATCAACAGAAATAGTTCATACTACAACCCTATTCATGGATGCGGACCAATGTGCTGTCAATTAATTAAAAAATTGCCCTGGTGTGATTCACACCAGGCTTGCTCCACGGGATGGCATGGAGCAAGGCATGGGATCGATTTAATACCCGGCCGGGGCAGAGGAGGCCGGGTATTAATATTAGTACTAAGCCCTATATATACAAGAAGAAAGGAAAGCTATCCATATCGAACACCCTACAATCCGGTTGGCTGGTATTTTTGTAAAGCTATACATAAATTTCAAGACATCTTTACAAGTCAGTGAGATTGCATTTGAGGTGTTCGACAGAAACAATTACATGAAAATGTAAATTTGGTCGTTTCTGAAGCATATGTCAAGAACCATTTAGGATGACTTAATCAATCCAGACCCGCCAACCCTGGTCCACACATGTACACCCTACCTACTAGATACCAGCAGTGACCTGTACAGTGTAAATGTGTTACATGGTTTAACCAGTTTTAAATTTTGGACACTGACATTCCACAACATGCATGTCAATAGTTTCCTCATCAGTAAATGTCCGCGATGGTATTTGGTGAGTACCCACATTGAAGTTGAATCGAGATACTAGACCTGACACAATGATGTTTCCCCTATTATTTCAACCAAGGTTTCACAATACAGGGTTAACCATGGTTTGAGATATTTTGTTAAGTGTTGATAAAAAGTATAAGTTTTTTGCTAATAGTGGTTACAACAGCTATGGTCAAATTAAACCACCCAATAAACTATGGTCTAACTATGTGATCATTGTCAACCCATTCTGTTACCGTGATCAGACAATGAGTGACTATGCTTTTGAACATTACCCATGGTAAACTACAGTCAGTCAATTGCCTGGGTGAATTGGTAATGACAGTTTGTCACCAACCCACTATCATTCTGTCTCCTGTCCTCCACCATTGACAGTTTGACACCCACCCACTATCATTCTGTCCCCTGTCCTCCACCATCGACAGTTTGTCACCCACCCACTATCATTCTGTCCCCTGTCCTCCACCATTGACAGTTTGTCACCCACCCACTATCATTCTGTCTCATGTCCTCCACCATTGACAGTTTGTCGCCCACCCACTATCCTTCCGTCCCCTGTCCTCCACCATTGATAGTTTGTCACCCACCCACTATCATTCTGTCTCCTGTCCTCCACCATTGACAGTTTGTTACCCACCCACTATCATTCTGTCTCATGTCCTCCACCATTGACAGTTTGTCGCCCACCCACTATCCTTCCGTCCCCTGTCCTCCACCATTGATAGTTTGTCACCCACCCACTATCATTCTGTCTCCTGTCCTCCACCATTGACAGTTTGTTACCCACCCACTATCATTCTGTCTCATGTCCTCCACCATTGACAGTTTGTCGCCCACCCACTATCCTTCCGTCCCCTGTCCTCCACCATTGATAGTTTGTCACCCACCCACTATCATTCTGTCTCCTGTCCTCCACCATTGACAGTTTGTTACCCACCCACTATCATTCTGTCCCCTGTCCTCCACCATTGACAGTTTTCACCCACCCACTATCATTCTGTCCCCTGTCCTCCACCATTGACATTTTGATTGAACTTAGATTCCTTCATCAGCAGGGAATCATGTTCTAGTTATGTTTGTAATATTGCCTCTATATGTATAGCTATCCTGAATTCAGATGGCATTTATATCAGCTCAATTGTTGATGTCATTGTTATGTCCTAATAATAATGATATAATTATGGTGTTGGAACCACTGACCATTCCTGGAAGATAGCTGTTTCACTAAATTCTTTAAATAATAATAATAATTTGAGGTTCTTATATACCGCTTTATCACAACCAAGTTTGTAGGTCGTCTCAAATCGGTTCACAAATTATTGTCCGCGGTTATACAACATGGATACAAAGATATAACACAGTGCAGTGCCGTGACTCGAACCCGCAACCCTTCGGTCACCAATCCAGCGTCCTACCACAGACTACCGTGCCTCAAAAAAATACAATGTAAATACATGTACAATGTTAATAAACTGAAATTTGAAATAAATGCTAAATTTCGGTAAATTAATTCAAATTTCTGTATGAAAGTAACATTGTCCAAAAATGGTAAACATAAATATTGAACTGCTGAGTTGGCATTCATGAGCAGTATTAATATGAATGCGAAATTCAACATGAAGTGCCACCAAATTTATGACAAAGACTGATCATGAGAGCCACTAATATTTTCAAAATATTCTTCTAATCTTTTCCAAAACATGCTATAGAATACTATTTTTCATTTGTCTTAAACTGACAAGTAAGATAGTTTGACATACCATTAACTTGTTTCCTGAAATCGAAAGGCTTTGCTAATAAATAAAAAAATCACCAACTTTTATGCTATATTGCAATGCTATTTTTAGGTCCGATTTTCATGCGGCTCTTTTCTGTTTTCTTGTTTCATTTGTGGAGAAATACCAATACTAAGACAAGATAAATGTTTTAATTAGCTCTATATATACCTAAAAATGGTAGTTGTGTACCGTAGGACCTGCTGCTGACACTCATTAAACAAGTGTCTTAGTACAATACTGATGCTAATAATCCTCCGTATATTTTCAGACCCAGTATGTTTGGCGGTGGTCAACAGACTCCATCAGGTGGTATGTATCTCGGATACCTCATTCTGACCTGTTGTATCTCCTACATTAATACTGTAGTCATCTTTGATTTCCTGCAGTATCATTTGTTAATTTTTAACACCACTTGGTGCATCCTCGCTACTCCAGGGGTTATGTATACGCTCACGTTCACTCTCTGCACGCCTGGAATATGTTATAGCAAATTAAAATCAAAGGTTCACTGTGCACAACTAGGCTCGTTTGATCCTTTGATGTACATCAAAAGAATCTGTTGGTTCAGTAACTGTAAAATTGACTGGCTTTGAAGTCGGGTGTTGCTCCTCTCTACACTTCAAAGGACAGGTATCAGCTTATGATTGGTCAGGGTTTTTAGGTCACCTGAGCTTTAGCTCAAGTGACCTATTGCTATCCGTTTTCGTCCGTCGTCGTCCGTCGTCCGTTAACATTTTACATTTCAAACTTAAAGTCAAGTTCTGCTGGGCCGATTGAACTGAAAGTT